GACAAGGAGGAGAGGAGGAAGAGGAGGATGAGGGAGGCAGGAAGGAAGGAGGGAGAGGGGAAAGTGATGAGAACTTCTTTACTATCTCCAAGAGCAACAGAATGCCACCTTACCGCCTGCGAGACCCAAGGCATTTGGGTGGTGATGAGCCTGTCCCAGCGCAATCACACAATCACACTCGCCTGGTGATTGCAAGGGAGTTTTAGTTTTTGTTTGGCTACAAATCTGACAGTTGAACCCAGGGGCTTTCAATGAGCTACATTCCCAGTCCTGTTTATTTTTTTTATTTTTCTATTTTTTATTTTTGCGGGGGCGGGTTTGAGACAGGGTCTCACTGTGGTGTTGAGACTGACCTGGAACTCACTGTGTAGCCCAGGCCGGTCTCGAACTCACAGTGATCCTCCTGCTTCAGCCTCCCCAGTGCTGGGAATAAAGGCGTGCGCCACCATGCCCGGCTTTCTATTTATTTTATTTTATTTATTTTTGATACTGGGAATCGAACTCCGGACCTTGTGCTTTTGAGGCAGGTGGCAGCTCCATTGATCTAAATCCCCAGCCTGCTTTTTAAAGTTTTTGAGACAGCGTCTCGCTAAGTCGCTATGTCACCCAGGCTGGGTTTGTCTTGTGATCCTGCTGTCTCAGCTGCCCAGAGTACTTGGATTACAGGGGTGTGGTCATGACTTGTAAATTATTTTCTTTGATGTAGCTACAGGTAAGAAAGAGCTAGCCACCTGTAGAAGCCCCTGTGTGGGCCCGTGAGAGCTTTCTTCCCATCAGCATGAAGTGATCCCGCTGGCATTTATAGTGAGTTGACGTTACCTTTTTGGAGTCATCGGTTGCATTTATGCTCTGCAGAGACTTGGGGGAGGTTGGGGTCTCACCTTTTCGAGCTGGCCTTGAACTCTGCACGATCCTCTTGCCTCACACTCACAAATGCTGGTTTTACAGGCGTGCAGCACCACGTGCAGCTCAGTTGGTAGCAGTCGAGGCAGGAACAGCATGTGCACCATCCCTGAGTGTGCCCATCACGGTGAGTACAGCAGCCCTGAAAGGCTCACAGCTCACACGGTCTCTTTGTAGATGAGGTGCGCACGGGGACCTACAGGCAGCTCTTCCACCCCGAGCAGCTGATCACGGGGAAGGAAGATGCAGCCAATAATTATGCCAGAGGCCATTACACCATTGGCAAGGAGATCGTGGACCTGGTCCTGGACCGGATCCGCAAACTGGTAAGATCACCGAGACGGCGTGGTGTGGCTGTTGCTCCGGATGGGAGGGTAGGCCTCAGGCGAGTTGTGGCGGACGTTGGGCCTCCTGCCAGAGCCCAGCCGGCCGTTTATCATGGACAGCTCTGAAAGGTTCGCCGTCCCTGCCTTAGGCTGTGATGGGGTCAGACTGCTGGCAAAGCTTAGACAAGCGTGAGGAGTCCCCACGGAGTCTGCACAGGCCTTGCTGCGTCGCCCCTGTCGCAGAGCACCCGCAGATCTTCCCTGTTTGCCTTCCTTTGCTTCTACATGTGACACGTGCTCACTGTGGATGTTTTGAGTCCACATCACCTTGCAGAGGCACGGAGAAGCGAGCCTGGCCTGCTGGGGTTGGCGATGTGGCCTCCGCAGGCCTGGGCTGATATTGTCTGGTTTCTCACAGGCAGATCTGTGCACCGGCCTGCAGGGCTTCCTCATCTTCCACAGCTTTGGAGGCGGCACCGGCTCTGGGTTCGCGTCTCTGCTCATGGAGCGGCTCTCAGTGGACTACGGCAAGAAGTCCAAGCTGGAATTTGCCATTTACCCAGCCCCCCAGGTGTCCACGGCCGTCGTGGAGCCCTACAACTCCATCCTGACCACGCACACGACCCTGGAGCACTCGGACTGTGCCTTCATGGTGGACAACGAAGCCATCTATGACATCTGCCGCCGCAACCTGGACATCGAGCGCCCCACCTACACCAACCTCAATCGTCTGATCGGGCAGATCGTGTCCTCCATCACGGCCTCGCTGCGCTTCGATGGGGCCCTGAATGTGGACTTGACGGAGTTCCAGACCAACCTGGTGCCCTACCCCCGCATCCACTTCCCCCTGGCCACCTACGCCCCCGTCATCTCTGCCGAGAAGGCCTACCACGAGCAGCTGTCAGTGGCCGAGATCACCAATGCCTGCTTCGAGCCAGCCAATCAGATGGTCAAGTGTGATCCTCGCCACGGCAAGTACATGGCCTGCTGCATGTTGTACAGGGGCGACGTGGTTCCAAAAGATGTCAATGCTGCCATCGCCACCATCAAGACCAAGCGCACCATCCAGTTTGTGGACTGGTGTCCAACTGGCTTTAAGGTAGGACCGGGTGAAGTCTAGTCATTGTGCCTGTCAGCAAACAGCAGCCCCGCAGACTCACGCTGTCCCTGAGGGGCCACATCCTTTGGGGAGAATGACACTGCATGTTGTCTGTGGTGCAAAGAAAGCATGTGTCGTTATTAATTTGCTAAATCCCTTCGGGTTACCCAAACATGGTAGGTGTCCCTTCTTCCCACAACTACCCTTTACAATGTAGTCGGATGTTGCTCACTCAGATTGACACAGTCGACTGTCACAATAGGAGTCGTACACAAAAACACGAAATTCAACTCACTTTTCTTTTTGCCAGTTACACACCATATTTTGAACATATTATATACAGGCTTCTCTTTTTTCTTTTTTTTTTGGCATCGGGGATCAAACTCGGGTCGGGATCTTGGGCTTCCAAAGCAGGCGGAGGAACCACTAAGCTAAATCTCCGGCCCAGTAACAGTTTTTATCGAGTATTTCTTACACTAGATCTGGGTCCACAGCTCCAGTTTTAAGTAAATTTTATTTTGTCCCATCCATCTCTCCCACCCTCTCTCCAATTTTTATCTATCTTGTCATTCCTTTTCTGAGACAAGGTCTGTATGCAGTTCAGGCTAGCCTTGAACTCTCTGTGTAGCTCACGATGGCTTCAAACTCTCAGCAATCCTCCTGCCTCAGCCTCAGCCTCCTGAGTGCTGGGAATACAGGCATGTGCCAGTAGGCCTGGCTAATGAACTTGTCCCTTCTGAGGAGGTTATAATGTTCACTGTATCTTTTCCTCTGGCAGGTGGGCATTAACTACCAGCCCCCCACTGTGGTCCCCGGGGGAGACCTGGCCAAGGTGCAGAGGGCCGTGTGCATGCTGAGCAACACCACTGCCATTGCTGAGGCCTGGGCCCGCCTGGACCACAAGTTCGATCTCATGTATGCCAAGCGGGCCTTTGTGCACTGGTACGTGGGAGAAGGCATGGAGGAAGGGGAGTTCTCTGAGGCCCGGGAGGACCTGGCAGCGCTGGAGAAGGATTATGAAGAGGTGGGCGTGGATTCCGTGGAAGCAGAGGCCGAAGAAGGGGAAGAATACTGAGGAGGACTGAGCAGCTGGCAGTCCTGTCTCCCGCTGTTCTCTGCTGCCCTGGAGCATGGCTGTCTTCAGGTTATTTTCAGTTAAAATTTCTGTGCAAATCCCTGCCTCTGTTGTGCTGCTCGTCTGCCTACAGGAGTAGACGCAGTCTCAGAAAGCCCGCCTGGGCTTCAGTCTGCTCCGTGGGAACGTGCCCTGGGTACCACACTGCTGAGTGAGTTGACCCTGACGGTAGTATTTCAAATCCAAAATTTCAAAGCATAAAGTTTTACCAAGTTTTAAGAGAAGTAAGGGTTTTTTCCATTGACTATTATTTGGAGGGCTCCTGCATTGATATACACTGACTAAAGTATTGGGGCTAGAGATGGAGTGTTTAAATGAGGTCTCTGGGTAGAAAATATCCATAAAATCCCTGAAATGGTGGGTCCAGTGTGAAAAGTCCATGGTTGTGCAGGCCTGCCATCCCAGCACTGAGATGAGGCAGGAGGGTTCCATGTTTGTGTCTAGCCTGGGCAACTTACTGACTTAGAAGGACCCTGTCTTAATCAGCCTAGGGATGTAGATGTCATTTTGTGGTACAAGAGATGAAATTCAGGGCCACACATGTGCACCCCCCGCCCTCTGGGAGATTGAGCTCAGGACTCTCACACTGAGCTTCATATCTGGCCCTTTTTCAGACAGGGTCCTGCTATGCTGCCCATGCTAGCTAGAGCTTGCATTCCTGCCTCAGCATCTCAGAGTGCTGGATTACAAGTGTATGCCACTGCACCTGGCTCCCAGCCCTCTGTCCATCCTTCCTTTTCTTCCTTGCATTCATCTGTTTATTTAGAGACAGGTTCTTGTTATGTAATTCAGGCAGGCCTCAAATTCATACGTGATCCTCCTGCCTCAGCCTTCCAAGGGCTGATGACAGGTGTGCACCCTGTTTAGCATCCCAGCCCTTTTTTAGTTATTTTGAGATGGGGCCTCGCTAAGTTACTAAGTTGTCAGGTTGGGCTTGAACTCGCAGTCCTTGAGCTTGGAGAGGGCTGTCATGACCCACAGGTCACATTATACCCCCCTCAACCTTACTGTGCAGTCCTATGAGACACTTTCCCTTCCACGCTCTCCCATTGCCATCCCTGCCCACCAAAACTGAACGGTCAGGTAGGGAATACCACTTTTCACTGAAGGGAGTCTTTTTCAACTGTTTCTACAAGATCTGGCAGTGTACATACCCTTTTAGGCCCCAAAACCAGGGTCAGGAAGGCAGTTAATGGTTTTGTTCCCTTGGATTGGCGGTAACAGGACCAGGGCATAGTGCTCATTACAAATCTTTGTGCTTTGCTTTCTTTGCAGTAGTGGGGGTTAAATCCAAGGCCTCACACATACTAAGCAAGTGCTCTACCACTTAGCTACTGAGTTCCCTAGTTCTTTTTATTTTCTGAGACAGGGTCTTGCTCAGTTGCCCAGGCTGGCCTCAGATTTGCAGTGCTGCCTTAGCCACCTAAGCAGCTGGAATAACAGTGATGCACCACCACACCCAGCAATCTTGATGCTTTAATACATCTAGAAAGTGATTAAGAGATTGCCTGATCCAGACCGTCAGCTTTCTGGAAAGGTTTAACAAGGAAACAGCACACGGCCTCTGCTGAGAGAAAAGGTGGTGCCCAGCAGGTTGGCAAGACAGTCTGTGCTCCCACACTACGTGCTGCTTCGAGAGGTGCTCTTCCCAGGCCCACCCCCTTTGGGCAGCCTGGTGGCACTGGGCTGGCGGGGCATCCTCTGGCTTGATCCTTCCCGGCTGCTGCGTTCTGCCAACGTGGGTGCTCCACCGAGAGCAGATCCACCTCTGTTTCTCCCTGAGAAGACAGAACAACATTCATTGTTAGGAACCTGGGCAAACTATTACTGCAACACACCTAGCAAATCTGTGTTCCTTAAACACATCTGTGTTAGTGTCTAAGCTGTCACAGCCAGCGGCCCCATATCAGCCTAGGGTCCTGGGGCTCAGAACTGCCTGGATCAACACATTCCAGAGAAAGCCCTTGAAAGTGCAGGATGCTTTCTAGGTGTCTCAGGGCTAGAGCTGGAATACTTTGAAAGGCACACACTATGGATCCACTGAGGGGAAGGTAAGCCTGGTGGGTCTACTGCCCTGAACAATGTATGTATTTGCCCCGTCTCTAAGCAGATAGCAGGAGGAACTTGTTACCTCTCCTCTCCAATGCATGTTAACACTGAACTAGGTGCTGCCACTGCCTTGGTCAGGCTCTGACTGGAAGTAGAGCAATCGTTAAGGACTGAAGACAGGTTTCTGATTTTGGGAGCTCTTTCTGAACAGTTTTTCCCCACTTCTAGAGTACACTTCAAACACTGCTCAAGCCTCTTGCTCTTGGATTTAGGTACTGATTCCATGATTGGGTTCCAGCGCAAGCTTCAATGACTGAACCTTGTCTACCAGATAGTCACCCTGGTTGGCTTATATATGCCTCCATCTGTACTTTGCTTACTCTTTTGCTTATCTTTTTTGTGAAGATAACCAGAAAAATCTGCAGCTACATTTGGCAAAACCAATTGTGTTGACAGCATCTGTAAGACAGAGGCCCCTACGGCAACAACGCATGTCCAGGAGCAGGCTTGCCCGTCGGCTTGGTCCCCACCCACACAGACAGCCAGTCTCCTGTCCGGCCTGGCGAGGTCTGCCCTGAAGGCTCTGACCAGAGCAGATGTCCCCTCCTTGACCCATGGTCCAGAGTTCTCCTAGGCCCCCAGCCTGTTTTTTCCTTGTTCTCAGATAGTGCCTTGACTTCTCTGTGGCCTAACCAGCTGTGTTTTCTCCTGCAGACCTTGAACATTCTCAGACACTGATCAGTTTATTTAGGTTGTTGCCTAAAGTTAAAATGTTTAATATGAGGGCCGGAGATTTAGCTTAGTGGTTCTGGCACCTGCCTCGCAAGCACAAGGACCCAAGTTCAATCCCTGGTACCAAAAA